AATTCTCTCCCTAGAGCGTGAACCTTCCCTACTCCCCTCCCAGTCCCAGGGACTAACTAATCCCCACCCAATGTCTTTTATAAAACAAGCTCCCAAGTAAAGCAGTCACTGGCGGAGACTTGCACAGAGGGCCAGCCCAGCTTCCCCTTTCCTAGGCTCAGAGTGGTTTATGCATTAGTCTTTGGGATGCAAGTCTCCTCTGCCTGAGCAGGGCAGAGGCGGGCTCCACAGGGCCTGGTGGGTTTTAATGCATACAAAGCATCTCCAGGTTCGTTTCCTCATTCACGCTATACCATTGCCACAGGTGAAGAAGCCGAGGCAGTCTAGAAAGCCTCTGGACCTTGTCTGCCCCACATCAGAAGTCCAGAAATAACTCCAGCACTTCCTGTCATCAGGCCTCCAGCCTACCTGGTGGACAACGGCATCCCCTGGGGTCCTGCCTCAGTTTCTCCGCCCCAAATTCTGGCCTGGTTGTGCTCTAACTCCCTGCTCTTGCCTAGTTTCTTCAGTTTCTTGTCTCGCTCCCCACCACACCAGGGGCTGGGCCTGCCCCTAGACCCTCAGTGACTGGCAGGGGTCCATACAATTCACCACACTGGCTCCTTGGTCTGGCCTTTATCTTTTTCTTGGTTCAGACAGCTCTTTTATGGAAAGGAATATTAGGCAGCTTTATTTTTAAAAGCTTTTTTTAAAGATGCCTTTCAAATTTTGGATTCAAATTCCTTAAGGAAAAGTTTGATTTTTTTTTTTAAAGAAAAATGTAAGTGTGCATCACAAAAGCACGATTTATAATAACTCTCATTATTGCAGTTTACTCTGTGCCAGGTAGAGTTCTAAGCATTTTGCACATTATATATTCATTTAATCCTTGCAACAACCCTGTGAGGTAGTTACTACTATTGTCTCCATTTTAAGATGAGGAAACTGAGGCACAGCAAAGTAAATAGACTTGCCCAGGGTCACAGAGACAAAAAGCAATGGTGCCAACGTCCAAATCCAGGGGTCTGGCTTCAGAGTGTGTGCTCTTAACTGCTGGTGTGCTCAGAAGAGCCTTCACACATTTAGGAAAGAGCCCCTTCTAAAAATTCACTATCTTGTGCTCTTAGAGATTTACGTTGTCTCCTTGTTAGAGATCTCCATGATTAAAGTCGTTAACCTTAAAAATAAAACTGTCAGTTATTTTACCAGGAAAGATGGGTTTATTTGAGGGTAGCAAAGCATTGCAATTCAGAATAAACAAGCTTCAGCAAACCATAGGCAAGCCCAGAGAACAAAGAAGAATGCTCTTTTATAGAGGAAAGGGGGAATTGGGAGGAGCTGTCATAAACAAAAAGTCCATTGGAGTAACCCGGGAGTTTGAAGTGTAGTGGCGGTCACTGGCTGAGTTGTGACAGCCTCTCATTGGCTGGGCTGTTGCCCCGCAAGGAGAAAACCTTTCTTCGTCCTGCTCGGGCAGCGAAGTATCCGCTTCTTCCTGTTGGGAATGCAAGGTAGTCTCTTCCTGTTGGTTATGCAATTGACTGGGAGTGATAGTGGGTGAGAGCTCCCCCTTCTGGCCTCCCAGCTGCTTCTAAATGAGGTTTCCTTTTATTAATTTTCAATTATTCGCATTTAGCTATATAACTCTTTGCTAGAACGACATCCCTTAATAAGTGGAATTTGTTAAAACTGGTTCAGTATTGTTTCTGTTTAAATGGCAAGTGTCAAGGTGACAAGAATTATTAAGAATTATTAATACCTTGGGGCTCCTGGGTGGCTGAGTTGGTGAGAGGCCGACTCTTGATTTTGGCTCAGGTCATGATTTCAGGGTCCTGGGATCCAGCACCGAGTTGGACTCTGCACTCAGCATGGGGTCCACTTCAGATTCTCTCCCCTTCACCCTCCCGCTCACTCTTTCTCAAATGAATAAATAAAATCGTTAACAAAACAAAAAAAAAAAATACCTTGGGTCACTGTTTCAGTGAAAAAGTATACTTTGTGAGGTTTAAAATATATAAACCTTGTTGGGGAGAAGTACAGGGGGACATTAGATTTCTCTGAAATGTTTCAATTTATAAAAGTAGAACATAATTTGTATAAATAAAAACCAATAAAAAATATGCCTTTATTTAATCAATCAAAAAATGCCTTCTGTGGTAGGCAGCCTCTACCTCCTGGTAATTAGTCTTATATAATACCCTCCCTTTGAGTAACTCACTTTTTTATTTTTTCTACATTTATTTATTTATTTGAGAGAGAAGGTGCATGCAAGCGAGCGAGTGGGGGGGAGGGGCAGAGGAAGAGAATCTCAAGCAGATTCCCTGAGCGTGGACCCCATGTGGGTTCAATCCCATGACCCATGAGATCATGACCTGTCATGAAATCACAAGTTGGATGCTTAACCAACTAGGCCACCCAGATGCCCCTTGAGTAACTTGCTTTTAACCAATAGAATATGACAACATTGAGGGGTTATCCCTTCCATGAGTAGGTTGCAGAAACTAATGACCTCTGTCTTGCCAGTACTCTATCACTTTCTTGGCTTGCATGCTTTGATGAAGTGAGTTGCCATGTTGGAAGAACCCACATGGCAAGGAACTGAAAATGACCTGCCTCGAGGAACTGAACGCTCCCAACAAATAAGACCACAGACCCTAGACTGACATCTTGATTGCAGCCTTGTGAGAGATTCCTGACCTACAGGAATCATGAGATAACAAACGTGTATTATTTTAAGTCCCTAAGTTTTAAGGTAATTTCTTATGCAGCAATAGATACCTTTCTTTATACAGTGAATTTTTGAGAAACTAATTAAGTCATCATACAAACCCATGTAAAAGAAAAGGTCTAGTCTAGATTGGCACAGTAAATATCTGAAGTCATAGACATGCACTATAACTACATCTGTCAGAACCACGTGAGGAGCCTAACTCAAGTCTTTTGCGGTCAGGGCACCCTTCAGGGAAGTGGTGGTTCTAGGGCAGGATTGAGTAGGAGTGTGAGGGCGGGGAGGGAGAGAGCATATGTATCTCCCACCATCAATGCCTACTGCCCCCCCCAACCTTCAGGCCCAAAGGTGCCTTAGGACAAGGGCAATCCCACACAGGGCTCTCAGGCTGAGGCCAAGTCCCCCCTGTCAGACCAAGAGGCCCCTGAAGGGAAACTTCTTGTCACCCCCATCAGCCACAGAAGGCTGAATTGCTCCTCCCCAGTGACTTTCCTCCTGTCTTTCCTCCCGTCTGCCCCGTAGCTCCCAGCACAGAACTCTGCTCAAAAGGGCAGCTCACATGGTGTGGAAAAGAGGCCACCAGACAATGGGTAGAATAGAAACACAAACTCAAGAAATGCATTCCTCTGCCCCAGTTTATTCACCCTGGCTTGGCCCAGAGGCCAGGTTCATACTCAACACGCAAGGGCTAGACACAAAACTCCCCAGGACCATTGCTTCAACCTAACTAATATGCCCTTCACCCACTGTCAGGGATAGAACTCTTTAGAGAGAGGAAGAGCACCCCCATTTTGCAGATAGGGAGACTCAGCGTCATGCCACTGCTCACCCATCAGGATCTTGCATCCTCATGGCTCCCAAAAGCAAAGCGGAGAGCTTGGCTACCTTAGTCCTTAGTTCTCCCCAGAATTCACCCACTCTCCATTTCACGGAGCCTCTGCTGGAGCCAGTCAACCCCCACCGAAAGGGCCATGCAGTGAAGGAAGGGGTATGACCCAGCATCCTAAGAGCTTCCAGAGGCTGGGCTGACATTGGCCCCTGCCCACCTGGAAAGCCGACTATGGCTCCTCTGGGCCTAGACAGCCTGATTTCAGGAAAACAGACCAACCTAATTTAACATCCAGTGTTGCTAAAGCCCGAGAAGGACAGCAAGTAGAGACACAGAGAAGAAAGTGAGATTTTTTTTCCCCAGCAGTCTTGGAGCACCTTGTCTGTTCCTTGCAAGCGTATAAGCGCACATCTGCTTTCATCAGAAGCTTAAATCAATATGGTCTGCAACCGCTCCTTTGCCGTCGAGAAGTGTGGTTTGTTTCCAAGTGACGTTTTAGAATTCCCTTTCTCCTATTCTTCACAGGGTTCTGCCACTGTCATCTCCCCCATCCCCATCTCCCACGTGCCTCAAGGCAGAGTTCAAGTGGGACTTTATCTTCTCTGATCCCACCCCGACCATCCCTGCCACAGTGTTCATCACCAACCCCAGCTCCCCTCCCTCCTACTAATTCCCTACCAGTCGCCCTGGCAAAATTGTAGCCAAAAAGCCATGGCAGGCCAGAGCTGCCACCACACTTCCCACAGCAAATCCACCATCAGGGACAACAGCCTTAGCAGAGCAAAGTCTGAGAGGAGTGATGGGGAGAGGGTGGACAGGTGGCCTGGGAAATCTCAGGGGAATGGATCAGCCACAACCCTCAGATAAATCCTGCAGGCTAGCCCTCTCTCCGGAGCAATGGGACCCTGTGGAGAGAAGAAGGCTAGGGTTGGAATGGGTAACACAGGGTGTGGATGCTCCATATAAGCAACTGAATATGTATTTGCATATACCTCCTTGTGAGTCGGCCTGCAAACACACACACTCCTACAACACACTTCCCATGCCTGCACCTGCACACAAAGGCCTGCACACACAAAGACACATTCGTATACACCCACCACAAGCCTACACGCTCACTCAAACTCACTCATATGCACACACACCTTTTGCATATATATCCTCACTCATGCACATATATGCACATTGTTGGATACCTGTTCATGCGTACACATACAAACTTACTCCCTCTCACATACATGCTATACACACACTTCTGTGCACACACATAGGCCTGCACCTAAGTTAGCTTGTGTGTACATACAGGTCCATGCCCGGACCCATCTGCCTACATGTTAGCACGTACATACTCAGTTTGCTTACCTGCACTCATACCAGCAAATAATCACGTACTTACTTGTGCACAACCACACACATGCCTGCAAATACGGACATATACCCCTGCACTCCTGTGGAGGCACACCCTTAGCCCTGCTCCTGGGGCCCGGATGGGGCTGCCCTCTGTTGGAGACAGCGGATAAGCTCCTTTCGGTTGTCCAGGATGGTGTCGAAGCTCTCCTGCAGACGGGTCTGCTGGTCTACCAGCTGGTGCTGCAGGCCCCGGATCCACTGCAGCAGGGCCAGGCGGCGGTACATCACCAAGTGCACGTGGTGCTTCTCCTTTTCCTGCTCTTTGTAGCGCTCCTGAGCCTGCAGCTGCTGCACAGCCTGGGCCACCGAGGGCAGAAGGGCATCTGGAGGGCCCGGGCCTCGAGGGGTCCCACAGGCAGGCTCAGGACTGCTGCTGCAGCTGTCGGTGCTCAGGGAGCTGCTGGCGTAGCCGTTGTCCTCCAGGGGGGAGCACACTGGGCTGGCACCACTCAACTTCTCAAGCTCAGCTCCGGGAATTTCTGCCCCCTCTGGTGGGCTGCGCACCTCCCCCTCGGGGAGTCCAGGGGCCTGGAAGACCTGGTTGTCAGAGGGCAACTCAGAGGAGCTCCTCATCAGGATGGGCTCCACGTGGCCTGGCATCCCATGCCAATTCTCATTGGCATCTTTGGCACTCACCATGAAGTTAGAGTTGCTGTCTGTTTGGAGCTCCGGCTGACATACTCCCGGCGGGCCCCCCAGGAACTGACCCCCCTCAGCCACCCCTGGCTGGATGGCGAACATTTGGCCTGTAAAGGGGAAGCAGAAGAATGAGTTAGAGCAGGACAGGGGTTGGGAGGTGGGCTGGGGTGGTGTCCGAAGTCATGGCAGCCTGGCTGCTGGGGCAAGGCGGTCTCAGTCCCTTTCCCTCTGGCAACACCTCCCTTTGTGGTTCTCCTCCTCTTTCTCTGTTGACTCAGACTCCTGCGTAGGGTCTTCTCAGCCCTCTGAGACAGCTTGTCTTCTCGTTCTATGCATGTCTCCCCAGAGGACCTCATCTTCTGCTGTAGCTTTAAGAACCTTCAAGTGTTGGTGACTCTCAGATGTGTCTCCAGCCCAGATCCAAATGCTGTCCAACTCTGTAACCAACCATAGGCTCCTCAAAATCTACATGCCCAAACCAGCTCTCCCGCTCCAGCGTCCTCAGCAAAATGGCCCACTCTCCATTCAGTCACTCCAGCCAGAAACCTACGAGCAGCCCGGACTCCTTACTCAGCTTCCTCCCCCATCTCACTGGCCACCAAACGCTGACAATTCTTCCTCGTAAAAACTTGTGTGTCTGTGGACAGACGTCAACCCTCACTTTCACTTGGTTCAGGTCATTTCTTACCTGGATTACTGATGGCCACAGCCTTCTCACTGATCTCCCCGCCTCCAGTTAAAAAGGTAAACTTGATTTGTCACAGCTCTGGGTGCCTTCTCTAAACTGCTGAACCTCCACATGGCCTACAAGGCTGTGCTTCAGCAGGCCCTTGCTCACCCCTCCAGACTGGCCTCTTCCACCCCAAACTGCTCAGAAATCTCCCAATATGCCATCATTCACTCCACACAATTCCCCTGGTCTGGGGTGCCTGGGTGGCTCAGTCGATGGAGCCTAGCATCGGGCTCCCTCCTCGGCAGGAAGCCCGCTTCTACCTCCCCCACTCCCCCTGCTTGAGTTCCTGCTCTTGCTATTTCCCTGTCAAATAAATAAATAAAATATTAAAAACAACAACAACAATTCCCCTGGCCTCTAAGCTCCTCCCTTCTCCACCAGCAAATTCCTTTCCAAACGTCAAAACCCAGCTCTCATATCCCCCCTCTCTGAAGCCTTCCTGATACCCTCCCCCGGCACAGAACTAAGCACCGTTAACTACGCACTTCCCCTGGGTCCCCACTGCACCGGTACACACTGCTTTGTCTGTATTTGTTCCTTGGCCCTGGAACATAGCTGATGGTCAGTAGATGTCTCTATGTAGTCGTTTGAGGGTTTGTTTTGGTTTTGGACTATCTAGTGATAGCAGCTTGTACACGTGGCTCCCTGACTAATCGCGGAGTTCTTCTGCATATCCTCTGTCATACCCCCGGAGCCAGCACGCAGCCTGGTTCTAAGCAGGTGTCAGTACACAGTGGCTGAGGGAGTGATGGGGGAGGGCGACTGCAGTGGGCTACCTATGCTCGGGAAGAGGAAGCCAACAGTAGCAGGAGGCTACGGCAAGCTGCCCAGGGCTGGAAGACCCGGCTTCAGTTCCCCCCTCTGTCCCAGGAAGCGCCCCCTCCCGCCCCGCCCCCCATTGACAAGCCTCTCTTCTGACCTTGCCCACTTCCCTCTGTGTCTACTATCTTGTGCCCCTCCCCTAGCTTGCTCCATCCTGAGGCCCCAGAGGGAGGGCATATCACAGCATTCTTTCCTCCCCAATAACCACCTCTACCAAAATTAGGGTTTGAATCGACAAGAGGTTTCTACTGACCGCATATTGCTAGGATTAGACAAATAGGGAATCAGTGAGAGTGAGGGATAGTGGAAGTACAGGAAGCACTAAGAGGTTTTTATAGGTGGCAGGGACCCTCCCTACATTCAGTAGTGGGCAAAAGTCCTGGGGGTGTAGGGACGGTCCCTTAGTGACCTACACGCTCCCATCCCTCTAAGCAGTCTTGGAGTTCTTCCCCGGCCCAAACGTTTTCTCTTTTTCCGAAGCTGGGCGGGGCCACAAGGCAAGCTGAGATGCGGTGGCTGTGGTGCTAAGGCTCACGGGGTTCTCAGGGATGGTGAAATGGGATCAGGATCAGGCTTCCCCCCAAGCTCATCTGTAGTCGGCCGGGGTCGGGGGATGGGGGGGTGGGGGGCGCTCGGCTCAGTAATGGTGGGGGAGGCGGCCTCCCTTCCTGCCTAGCCCTGCGGGAGAGGACCTCCCCAGGAGACAGAGGATAGAGACCGTCCTTCCCTAAGCTCCCCATAAGAGGCAGCTGGGCGGAGGCTGCGACACCCCACCCCACCCCCCGACGCCCCCCGGCGCTGGGCCCCCAACCCTCCCCTCCGGGCCCGACTCACGGCCTGGACGCGCCCGCCCCGGCGCGGCTGGCTCTGCTCCTGTAGACCCCGTGGCGGGAAATCGTCCCTCGGGGCTGGCGGGGGAGGGGGGGTGTCCCTCGGCCTGGCCTGGGCAGCCCCGTGGGCCGGGCGTGGGGTGCGGGGCTCCCGGACGGCGCGGCCAGCCCCAGGCCTGGCCTCCGGAGTCGGGCGGCGTCAGCGCGGCGGGGCGGGGCGGGGCGGGGCGGGGCGGCCGGGCCCACGTGGGCCGGTTCGGGGTTCCGCCGAGCTAGCTGCCAGTGCAGCCCGAGCGCCCGAACCGACTCCCCCGCCTCCTGCAGCCTCGACCGAGGCCTGCCGGGTCGGGTTTATCTTCTAACTGAATCCACTGGGTCCCTCGGATCGCTTTGCGTCACTGCAGATACTGTGACATTTTCAAAATGAAAAATCCGATCATGTCACCAGACCCTGCTTAAAGCCTTTCAAATGGCTTCCTTCTTGCGGGATAAATCCTTAAGGCGGCAGCCACAGGGTTCTGAGCCAGCTTCATCCTCTGCCCTCCATCTCTACAGCTGGGCCTCACGATCCTTTCTGCCATGCGACTTCTGCACACACTGTTCCCTCTACCTAAAATTCTGTTCCCCTTCTCGACTTACTCATATTTCAGTTCTCTTCTCAGATAAACCTTCTCTGACCTCCTAGACCAGATTCATTTCCCCTTTTATGTTATCCCAGGGCACTTTGTTCCTTTTCGTCATTGCATCTATCACAATTTGAAATGATATATTCATTTTGTGCTTATTTCATTAAAGTCACTTAACGAAAGCTATGTTTTAAGAGAAGAAAGAAAATCTGCTCTGGGACAGGACTGGGTCTCCTGTCCTGCACCTAGGCCCGGGCACCCTCCTCCCTGCAGGACAGAGAACCTCTCCAGGTGTCTGTGCAGTGAGCTCTTCTCAGTTTCTACTTACCGAAGCCTGATCCCCCTCACTCCCTTCTTCTTAGGAGGAAATGAGGAGTGTTGGGACTCAGTTTGCAATCAGAGAGAATGGGGTCAGAGTTGGTGCTGACTCTAATGATAAGAAAGCACTGGATGGTGTTAGGGAAGTTAGGGCTTCTTAAATTAAGTTTTTGCCGAAGGCGGCCCAAGGAAGGAGACTGGGACAAATTTAGCCTTCAGGGCACCCACGTGAGATTCTAGGAGGTCCCTTCCATACTCCCCACTTTACCAAGTAAAGCAAGCAACTGGCTACAACCTTTCTCATGTCCTCCCCCCATTAAAAACAAAATAAAATTAACAGGGATTCATCTTTGGATCATAATACATTTAAAATACTCTTGTCTTTCCCTCATCTCTTTCTGCTGCTTTTTTCCCCCTCTCCATCTTTTGCTATTTTTTTAGACCTCAGCCCCATTTCTACACCAGGAGCTGAACCCCAGCTAGTCTTCCTTTTTCCCTTACCCACCTCAAGTTCCCCTTGCCTTTAGCCAGGTGACCAAATGAGGTGACCCAGATCCTCACTCCCAAAGCCACTCTGAGCCTGGGTGGTGTAGAGTTGTGCAGATCTTCCTGTGCCACACAGCTATGTCAGATACTTAGTTGTTCTGTGGGCGCAGAGCTGCTCCTCCCCACCTCTCCTGTGGACTCCATCGCTCCCAGATCTAACCATGTGGGCCAAAAGGGAGCCTGATGAGTCCAGAGATGGGAACCCCATTCCAGGTGAGTTAGCATCCTTCTCTGGGACTTTCTGAAATAAAAGGAAGACGAAGCAGGGAAGACATATGGGTAGGGCTGCAGCAATCACATTCCCTGCCAAGTGGGAGTCCGTTTATAGTAGGAGAAAATGTTGCTCATGCACAGAAGCAGAAACAAAAGACGGAAGTTCTGGTGATGTTCCAGTCCCTACTTCCTGAGGCCTTTCTGTACCTTCCAATAAGGCCCTTATTTTGCCAAGCCTAACTTGAGTGGAATTTCCTTCACTGGCAATCAGAGAATCCTGATTAATACAAGAGCACAAGGTGGTGACCCAGGAGTCCCTCTCATATACCTCTCAGCCCTCATTAAGGAGTAGCAACTCAGTTTCCCCATGGTAGCCATTATCAGTCCAGCTTACACGGTGACCTCCTTTGAAATGCAATGGAATCATCTTAGTGTTCCCTCATTAGAAACATTCCTCCCCAGATGCTGAAACCTCCTGACCTGTAGAGGCTAGAATGGTGGAGACAGGAAGTAAACTCTGGGAGAAAGTCATCAGGTACAATCACATAACGTGCCACACTTACCTCTGCCTCTTCATATGTATTCTGGCTACAGATGACAAAGAATTCTATACTGATTGTTGACTTATAGCCTCTATTGTACTCTGAGGGGCAGCAGACAACCTGGCGTAGCTGAGTCATCAGTCGGTCTTTCCGTTCTATTAAGCTAGTTGTTTTTAATAACATCATCTCTGAGAAGTCAATGTGAATTCCAAGGGCGTCAGATTGCAGCCTCTCTTCTCTTAGTCAAGGGTAAAGTTGTGTGGGATACTCTAGCACTGTATAATTAACGCAGCAAGTGCTCAGACTGTGGTCCTGGGCACTCCATAATTTTCAAAAGCCAGGAGCCTTGAGAACAAAAAAACCCCAGGAAGGCAGGGGTGTCCATGTCTGCATGATCACAGAAAAGCAGATGTACAGATGTCTGTGATTCATTCACCAGAAGATTCCACAGTCAGGATGCCAAGGAATCAGT